ATATGTAAAATTATTCCTGGATCTTTGCACGATCCTGAAACCTTGCTGGCGTGGCGTTTTCGATGCTTCGTATATCCCTCAGGTACTCATGTATATCCACTCGTTTACAAGCTCGTGACGCAAACATTCGCAGCTGACTGCACAGGTGCGAAGAAGGCTTATGGAGGGACATTATCATACTCGTGAATACAAAAGTTTCCTTTGTGAGACGCGAGATTGCCGCGCGAGAAAGCAGGTCGAGCTTTCAACTGCCTCCGAAGAATGCTACAAACCGGCAGCACATGAAAACGCTTAATTTCTTGAAGAGAGTTGCCTACAGCAACTTTCAACAGCAAAAAGTTTCGCTGCGCGTGTTCTCTTTTATGAACATAAAAAAGAATTTGTAAACACGCGCGTCATGTACAAGATGTTCCCTGGTTAAACCGCCAAACTTAAAATATAAATTTATAGGAAGAACTCAAAACAAATTTTCCTCTAAAAATTTTCTCACAAACGCTTCGTTCAACGAGATATCGACTTCTTTGTTTAATTATTACATTTTGATTATTGCAAAAGCAATAAAGAAGATAAACCTAAATTATTTCAATATTATTCATTCCTATACTCGTAGTTCTGTAACTTTGTTAATGTTAATAACATTTGTAACTTAATTTTAATTATCATAAAAGCAATAAAGGGGATGTCTAGATTATTTAGACATTATTCATTCCTATATATATTCTGTGAGTTACAGAATTAGAAGAATGAATAATTTCAAAGTAATCTCCTTTGCTTTTACAATAATCAAATTATTTAATTATAAAATATTTTTGTTAAAAAAATATATATGTAATGGCCTTCGGCCTTGAAATAATCATTGCAGCTATCGATGAGAGGACGAGTAACTGACTGACATTGTGCATCTCTAATTTCTTTCCACGCTTGCATTATGCTCCGTTTTAACAAATGAAGATCATTAACGGGTACTTTATACACTTTATGCTTCAAAATAAACAAGACTAAAAATTACTTTGATATTGTTCATTCCTTTAGTGTTCTGTAATTTAAGAAGTTAATATTTCTTAAACCAGAGCTGGAATTTAGTTGCACATTTCAGCCGATTTTCAGCTTGGTTCCTGCCCCTCACTTCACCAACCCTCGCGCAGCCTAAATGCCGATCGGTATAAATCCCAGCTCTGTCTTAAACAGCGTTTGTGAACAAACTTCGAGGGGAAAATTTTGTTTGTTTTGAGGTCCTAAATTCATATTTTAAATTTGACGGTTTAACCCAGGAACGTCTCGTATATTATTAATAATTGTGATGGAAAATAAATATTGTAAGATTTCCTGGTCGATTTTTGTCTGACGTAACACATGGCGGATGGCAACAATTTATGGAAGCATTCATCAATTTCAGAAAAGCGTTCTACCCTCTCGTCAAACAACAAGATCCTGATATCTTCCAAATCGATTTTACATTCCGTGACTTCGCTTTAGCTATGTATAAAGGGAGCTGTGTGTATTCCGCGTATTTATGAAACTACGAGCGATACATGCGTGTCTACACATGCTGAAGTCTGTTCCCTTCGAATTCACGCAAAGGTAGTATGAGGAATGGTCGAATTATGCGACATATTGCACGGTTCGAATCCGCCCTCACGAACATAGTCGGATATTCGAGAAGAAAAAGCGGTGTTTATAAGCAAGGGAATTTGTTTCGACTGACTGATTGCGCATTGCTTTGTGCTACAAAGGTGGATATGTTATTGGATATTGAAAAGTTCAATTTGAAATGCGATCAGCCATCGAAAAATATTCGCCAACGTATGCATTTGATTCAATTGGGAAGTAATTTATTTCGATTTTTATTACTATCCTAAGAGTTTAATAATTTCTTCGTGTGAAAAGCTAACCAGGTCATTACGGCTATATTGTTGATAGGATTTCGAGTGAGATCGATCATGCTCTGCGTAAAAGCTGGAAATATGCTCGAATCAATCACAAAGCTAGTCGCAAGATTAAGCTGCACAACGACTGTTAGTCTCCTTTATTGATCAGGAATGCTTTACTGCTCGCTAAAATTCGCTGCACGACCTTTTGGGGTGATTGGAGATTAGAAGGCTAATGTGTGGATAGCTCTAGCGCTGCGGAGGATATACGAAAGATAAATCAGCAGTTTTAGGAACGACTATTACAGCACGGCAGGAATCGAAACCGTATAACCACAGTTTTAGATGCTGAAGGTATTAATATTAATAATATAATATATAGGGCAGAGCGGGGCTTTTTCGTTTCCATTTCTCGCGATAACGTTTATGTTTGTGAACAGCACACGTTGATTATTTAAAGATTGTGTTTGTACTCTCACAGAGCAATCACATGATTGCTCTTTATAATATAATGTAATTGTAAGCACATCACTGCAATGAGACATTGTTTGTCATCGTAAATTTTCGTATTACTCTAAAATTGAAACAGACGGAATAATCCCGTCCTACCCTATTATTAACATATTTATAATTTTATAATTTATGTATTGCATGTAAAATGCATGTAACATTAATGTACATCCTCAAAGTAGAAACATAAGCCAAAAAGCGAATACACAAACCGCAAGATATTCCATTGGCCCTGACATTTAGCTCTACTTTGCCCAGATGACGATAATGCTTTTCATCAACGTAATGAGCTACCTCAAACCTGACCTGAAAGTTGGCTGCATAAATAATCATGTCGCGTGAATAGGGCGACCATATGCAAAACCATTTGCGACGCGATGGACGAAATCACGCGAATATCGCGAGCGGAGATTTTCCGGAAAAATTTGATGGCGCAATATCGCTACGAAAAAGGCAATAAGAGTAAATTGACGTCTTGGGAAGAGAGGCTCGGGGTGCTTGAATACCAAGCTGCCGGCTTATTTCGTCCCGTTTCTCGGTACCGTATCTGTACCTACTCCAGAATACTTTCCCCTCTCCCTTTCTCGGTGCGTTAGAGGGTGAATTGAGTGGCGCAAGGAAAAATTATTAAACAGTTCCCTTAGATCTTACCGCGACTCGCGAGTACATTAATCTATGAAGATATGAGAAATAAACTAAAAAAAGAATGGCTAAAAAATATTATTACCTATTCGACAATCTCTATCAACGATTCTTTAAAAGTTACGAAGACAAAGTGTTTACGTAAGAGCTTGTAAATTTTAAATAACTGTTATATAACTTGTAAATCGTAGCAGAACGTTGAATGTTGCGTTGAATTTGGGGTTCCTCTTCCTCGTAGTCAGCACGCCGTCACTGTTGCCCGACGCGTGTTTCCATCTCGCAGATTTACATAAGTGACTTATGGTCAGCGAGTATTACCCTCGTGGTAGGCAGGGTAGTTCAGTCGTATCTTTGATGCGTCGTACGCGCGGGGATTTAAATGAGGGACGGTCGTTAAGGGAACCGGTGTGAAATATCACGCGAAAGTATCTGCTTTCATTATTCGCGGATATTCGCGCGTGATGTTTACGAAAGATCAAGAGATCCGATTCTTCCTGTTTTCTAGCAACTTCTCATTTTTCATCATTAAATATAATTTGTAATTATCACATTTACGATTTTAAAATTTTATGACTTATCCAGGATAGAGACCCTCTAATCAGAGTCGCGATACAAAACGATTTGAACCAACTTTTGTATGCAGGGTAGTAGTTTTAACAAAATCGATAACAGAGAGAGAAATATATTAGTATCTCTGTCTAACCTTAACGCCGCGTTAAAATTAGACAGATACTAATATATTTCTTTCCCTGTTATCGATTTTGTTAAAACTACCATCCTGCATACAAAAGTCGGTTCAAATTAGTGCTCGGAAACATCAGACGATTTGATAGTTCGGACAGTTCGAATCTTATATGATTTTTTATTCTCTTCTGTGAAATTCGCGGTTTGGACAACAAGATGATGTTGTCCAATGAAAAATGAAGTAATTAAAAATTCATCATCTGCGACATCAATATAACTAAATATTATATATATTTCCGCCGGCGATAATGATCGAATTTCGACATTACGTTAACCGTTCGATTAATTAACTCGACAATACTTCCCTAATAGAGTGGTTGCGGCACTCGATTAGCCATCGAAATTATATTCATTAAATCGAGAAAATCCATTTCCGCACAACTACTAGGTATCTCCGTACCTGCTGAATTCCATCGTTTGTGCAAGCTATATTACTATCGCGCAGATAACGCTTCCAGGTTCATCGTATCCAAGATTAAATAACGCGAGGCCAGCAGAAATTTTCATAGTGATATATAACGATGTGACATGTGATCGCAGATTTAATTTAGAGATTGTGCATCGCCAAAGCGAACGTAATACGATACGTGACATGAGTGCGTATATATGCGACGCAATCATAATTACGTTTGCACATGTTGCCAATTTTTCATATATAATTAGCTGTCATCAATTAACGCTTACGTGATGCTATTTGAAAGAATAGCGTGAAACGACGCTATTCTATCATGCGTTGACTCGTCTGACAGAGAAGTGCGATATTTTTTCAATCATATTCCTATGAGATCTCGAATTTTTCTGTATTTTTTATTTTATCCACAGAGTCAGCGAATAATTCAAAGCCGATTTTTTTTTGACGAGAAATCCTCTCCAACGAGAATTTATAAAAGGAAAATATCAATTCTGATTTGATCGAGGAATTCGTGCGCGAACGAGAAATCTCGAGAAATCTCTGCGACGCTCTGCAATATTACGGAGACATATGAATAATCGTTAATTAATTCCAAGCACGGCGCGTGCAAAACGACCCGCCGGCGAAAAAGCACGCCCGCCTTATATTCTCAATTTTTTATCTGCATATGTAACGAGTATAATAAATACCGGCGGCGGTTACCATTTGGTGACGCGAAGCGCATAGCAACGAGAGCAAGCATTTTTTTTCCTCTCCTGCCGTATTGTCCCGCCCGAGCGCGAGCGTTTTATCTGGCGTAGCAAAACGTGGAAGCAGTTCTCTATCATGAGCGGAACGTTTTATCAGATAAAGTCGCGCTATCGGTCTCGGCAGATAAGGGAACGGTGACAGACTGACGATGACACACGGTGCCCGTGCTTTCGGAAGTGTACGTGTCGCTCCGGCTATTTTTTTTCCTGTTCCCCATCGCGCGTGTAATTCTTGCCTCTGTTTTCCATCTCGAGTGGAAAATAGCTAAATAAAGTAAGTAGTAACTTTATCGTTAATAAAAATTCGATGGTCTAAGAAAAGTCGTTGAATTGCATAATAAATATTGACATATGATATGAAATAATGTACGATAATAATAACTAAAAAAAGTCAATTATCTCTATAATTTTTAAAATTCGCTTTACGATTAGATATTTGAAATAAACTTTTATAAGGGTCATCAATAATACGTGTGCGTGGATATCAGTTAAATATCGGAGAATGTGATTTTTTCGTGATCGTTATCAGGTACAAAATTCAAAGCGCACTTGATTAAATAATCACAGGTCGCATCTTTGAACGAGCACACTAGCGCCGCTCATTCGTCCTAATCCTGTTTGCACTTTAGCAGTAACCCTCGTTCGCCTCTCTTAAGTCCTCCATTATTCTATATTGAATTGCACATAAATCTTCATAGCAAAAGAGCAACTTGGCTTGCGCTTCTGCGCGAGTAAAAGAGCACGGAGTAATTTCTCTTCATCTTCTCGCGGTAGAAGCGGAGCGAGCGGTCGGCTTTTCTTTGGCTTTGCTTGTACTCAGCTGAGAAGTAGATTCGTCTCAATCTCGGTCCGAAAGACCGATAAGAAGGACAACCGAAGGACTATAGCACTAAATAACCGCCTCCTCGATAGGTCATGGATACTCTGTATCCGAATCTCTACGAGCGCTTCAAGACAGAAGGCCTCTGTCCCATTTGCTTCATGGAGATGGAACTTACGCCCAGATACTCGTGCATTAACGGGCACACCGTATGCCACCGTTGCAAGCCTTATTATTATAACTGCTTCACGTGTGCGGCACCGTTGAATATGGAGATCCTGTCGCCACAGAAGGACACATCTGAGCCGGTACATTTGATGCCGCATCCCATGTCATCGCGTCGTTATGATGATTATAATCCTAGCGCGCCGTCGATGAACGATTTTCTGGATAATGAGAGGAGAGCTTGGAAACCGTCCGTGCCGTCTGAAAATCAACGTCTCGAATTCTGCTCGTATTCTCATCTAGGATGCTGGGTAAAAATACCGGAGCACCTGCGAGTGCTTCATGAGTCGAGGTAGAAACAAAAGCTTTATTCTTATCGTCGTTATCATTTGTAATCTTCAAGTGTCAATCGTATTTTGCATGAATTGCATGTGCCCATTTTTAGAGTTATATAGATATTAACAAGAGTAGCGCAAATACGTCATCCTTAACTTAATCTGGATTAAAAATCAATCATATTAAAGAATCGCTGAACGCTCATTGGATGATAAAGTAATTAAATCTAAAATAATGGTCGAAAAGAGAAGAGCCAATAGCGAAATGTGATTATCGACAATCATAAATCAAAAGATTCCACTATTCTTGTTATTCTAATATCTAGAGTTCTGGTTCATTCCCAGCAAACATCAATATTCTAACAGCGCAATCTTTTTAATCTAAGGGCCGTTTTTAGATATATCAAAATCTTGCAGGCTACATAATGTCTATTTCACACAATGTCTATTTCCGCGTAATATAATTCACTATATTACTTATATAATTTTATTATATATGATTATTATATACGTATAATTTCTTTATTAATATTAAGATACAATTTTTTTATCTGTTTCTTTATTCCAGTTTTGTTTATTTTAATGATTGTACACTTTGCGTAAAAATAATTATGAGAATAATTAACTTTGAATTTTATCTCATTAGTCATCGGTAAGGAAATAAAAAATCAAGATAATTTATAAAAATCAAATATTTTATAAAGATGTCATTTATTTATCAAATATAAACTACATTTTTTCGAATATGAATTCTTAAAGATTTTTTAAAATACATCTCAAAAATGAAACTGTTAAACTGTTACGCAAAATGTTATTATTTTGATATATTACCTAAAATAAAAAATATAATTTTATATTTTCGACTATGAGCAAGCACAGAGGGTTGGAAAAAATTAATTAGGGATACAGGTTGTGCATCATTGCTCTAATATAACACACGAGTTATATTACAATCATAATTTTCTCTAATATAACATGAGTCGCAGTACAGTTATATTATTGAACGGGAAATTATAACTAACGATTATGTTATTTGGGTTTGCTGGGTTAATGCTAATATTAAAATCATAATTTCAGGTGCCAGTTTCGACCGCACTTGGAGGAGAAACATATGCCAACCGATCTTCATCACGGCCATGACGATTTGGTAGATTGTTCGTATTCTGCAGCAGGATGCAGGGTACGAACAGTTCCGTGGAGACGCAGCATTCATGAGCAGTATTGCATCTACAAGACCAAAGACATATTCCAAAGCGTGAACGATATGAGCGACGATTTCGCGTCTGCGACGATCGCCGATAATGATTACGGCGGCGATCTTGAAGAATTGGTGCAATGTAAGTTTAAGCAGTATGGTTGTATGGTGAATATTCCGAGGAGGCGGAAATACATACACGAGCAGAAATGCAACTACAAAAGCCATGAAGAAGACGTATTCCGGAATACGAACGATATGAGCGATGGTTTCACATTCTCGACGATCGCCGGTAACGATTATGGCGGCGATCCCGAAGAATTGGTGCAGTGCAAGTTTAAGCAGTATGGTTGCATGGTGAATATTCCGAGGAGGCGAAAATACATACATGAACAGAAATGCAACTACAAGAGCCATCAAAGAGACTTGGACGGATTCGATTATCCCGCCCAGCCAGAATTAGACCCTGACGAGCAAGTAGAATGCAGGTGGTCCGAATACGGCTGCCGAGTCAGACCGAAACGTTATCGTAAGCAAATTCACGAGGATAAGTGTAATTACAGGAAGGAATCCCCATGGATGCAGCGTTATATTTAAGCCAACTTTAAGATACTCTCATGAGTACAATTACGATTTTTTTGCCAATCATTAATTATACCGAATTAAATTAATGATATTCAGCAAATTAGTGTAATTCTCGCAATACGCCAATGTTTATCAGAGCGATTACAAAATATCTTTTTCTGAATTGTGATTTGTCTTTGGAGAGGTATTGATCAACATGTTCAATCATTCTCGATCTCCGAATCGCATAACACAAAGACGTGCAAACTGATTGTTTCCTCTCGTAATTGTTGAATTAAATGGAATACTAGTAGGAAACATACATTCCTCCCTTCTGTAACGCTGAACGAGTAACTGAAGTGTCGATACCAATACATCAAACAGAGTCGACAATTCCGTTAATAGGTAACAAGCTGCGAGTCGAGCTCGTCAAAATAACAATTAGCAAACAACAAAGCGAATCTGGTCATCGACGGCGCCAAGATGCGGGGCGATTTTGTAGAACGCATTAACGACGATTTTCAGGAACCCGCAGGGATAATACAGAAGAGGATTATTTACTCTCTCCGCCACTCTCCATTCCGGCGCGAGATAGCGAGACTTCCGCCTGTCGTTCCGGGGATCATCTTGAGCATGATCGTCCGGAATGAGGGAGTGATGGCGTGGCTGGGATATCCAACACCTGCAGGCTAATGGTGGGTCCCCCTGTACATCCACGACCGCATCACCATCGCTCGACGAAACGACACCTACACGTTTATAACGTCCCATTTATAATGTCGGCATGGGCAAAGAATGGCGCGCAATTTTGTCTCGAATGCGCGATTATAGATAGTATCCTGATGTCTCGAAGTCAATAAAATATGTCAGTATCAAAGACAAATTGCGCGATTTTATTCATTTCATTTTATTTGTAGTTGTTTTTTATTCGTATAACAGTTAACCTTTCGGTACCATTCTACATATATCATTTTATCACATATTTACCACACTAGTATTATAAAAAGTATTGCACAAAAATGAACATATTGTGTGTAACAATTTTTTTTTCAATCAAAACGTTAAACAAGAAGTCTCACAATAATAAGAAAATGTAGCTTCATTAATAAAAGTTACAGCATAGCAGAGTAAAAGTAAACTCGGATATGCCATATTATAGTAATTAAGATCGGCTCCGAACAGTTAAAAGAAAAAATTATATAATTATTTTTTACAGATATTAGTAACATTTGAATGAGCATTCTTTGTGATAAATTATTATCAAGCTTAGAAAAAAGTAATTTATGTTAAATTATTATGCACATTTATGGAAAATCATATTGAAAAATCAACGACACTCTGTGGAAAAGGAAACGAAGGTTGAAATCTATTTCTTGCGCCATGAAAATCTGAGACGGTCCCATGGGTGAAGTACGCCTTCGTTCCTACTAAATAAATATCGAACGGATCGTGTCGTAAAGAAACTCTTGTCCATACACAATGCGAGCGGCCTGTCATTTCGTTTGGTCAGAACTTTAACGTTCGACGCTGCTCCGACGGACAAAGGGATGCAGGGACTGTTTTACATGGTAAAGACCAAGAAGGACCTCTGACCATCGAATGCCTTAAAGAGGATACCACACCAGACCTAGGTTTATAATCGTACAAAAAGGGAATGCCATTTCAAATTATGCTCAGAAACAATCGGGGTGATTCTTATTCAAGACAATGCCTAACCCCACGATAGCTACCCTTTACCTTCTGTAATTGCATTTCGGATTATTCGCTGATTTTTAATTAACCGGTTTACAAAGAGATTGCGCACCTTAAAGAAGATACTTTATTGTAACTGATTTTGTTTTGAAACATCTGCTACTTCTGATTCATGCACATAAATTTATTTCGCGCGATTGTATATTATAAAAAATTTAAATTTGTTTCATGCGTGTTCGGCTTTACTTCGTCGTTTCTTAGTATGTAAGTACTTTTGCGTGCGATCTCATATTTTTTTCATAACAAATAACAGCAATCAAGAAAACATATTAAATTCATAATGAAAAAAGTTCGCTTTCTACTTCAATAAATTAGAAAAACGTGACACCGCATTAATATACATATTTGTTATTTCTATGTAAAACAGCGACGCGAAAGAAAAAGTTGATGACGGATAAGAGGCGATTATCAGACGAAAGTTAATGGCCTTTTCTCCTCATTAAAACCTCTCTCGCATAAATTAATAAGCCGATCAGCGGTAGATGATGTAAAATAAGACGGCACCTCGTCACCGTGTATTTAAGAAGCTAGATGAAATAAATGCAGACACGACAAGTTAAAACCGGCTGCTTCGTAGGATTGAGTGAAGGGATGAAAGGAGAAGATGCGAGTAAATTGCACCCCTGGGGACGAGCCTGACGAGTGGCGCGAAAGACGCAACAAGCCAGAAGTCAGCCAACTTTAATTAAGACTGTGTTACAGACTAGATGTAGACACGAGACTTTGTATAAGAACTCGGGCCTATAACGTTTTTTGTCAGCTGTGTGTGAGTTTTTAAAATGCTATATATGAACAAAACGATAGGAATATAACACATTTCGTTGTCACTATGTATATCCTAAAAACTTAACAATTTATCTTTCACTTACTTTATATAGATATTCTAGTTTAAAATCAAATTTTCCTAAAAGAAAAGAGAGAATTAAAAAATTATTGTCTATCGTAATCTTTCAATTTTAATATTAAGTACTTTTGTAACAATTCTGAGATGTTGCAAGAAAAAGAGAGAAAGAGAGAGTCAGGTCGATTTAAAATTTAATAAAGGATAAAATTTTATTACTATATTTGCCACGCTCTTAGCTTAGTTTTCAACAAACCTTTTCAACAACTTAAAAGCTAATGGTCTCTCAATGTTTTTGTTGAAAAAATTGACTTCAAATTAATTAAAAAAATTCTAAATCAATGATAACTCGGTAGATCTAAAGTACCTCTTATGTTACAACTAGACATCGGATTTTTATATAATTGCATATTTTTTTAAAAAGCAGATTGGGAAGTGAGACCAAGATAGAAATTTGTCTTATGTGAAAAAGCATTCTAAAAATACATATTTATTTGTGCATATTTGCATATTTGTGCATATTTCCATATTTTATGTATATTTTCACATTTTGTCTGCATAAAAAATCCGATATTTAATTATAACAACACTCTAAATTTCTTGCAGTGAAATCTCCAAGAAAGTGAAAATACAATCCATCCTTGAAAAAAGTGAAAATATTTTACTTCTTAAAAAAAAGTGACAATTTTCACTTTTTTTAGAGTGAAATATAAATCACTTTTTCTTAGAGTGAGATTTCACTTCCTTAGAGTAAAAATTCACTTTAAAAAGAGTGGAAAAAAAAATTTTTTTTTTCCCCAAGAAATATTTTCACTTTTTTCAAGAATGGTTGTATTTTTCATACTCTTGGAGTGAGATTTTAAGAAATTTAGAGTGAATATTGTGATGTCAAGAGAGTATCTCCGATCTTCTCTCTCTCTAGTGAGATATGTTTCTCTCGAGTGTCTCGATCTGCAGCACGGTTGTACATCATCGCGTGCATGCTCGTAAAACATATCGATAGCGCAGGGGATTTGGGAAGATCGTGTTCCCACGTAAATACCTCACGCCAAAAAATGACGGCGTTCGTATCTTTCGACTGCCGCCTGCGTATCGCATGGCACGCGAGCTCCATAATTCACGTTAGCGTTACACGCCGACCGCGTGGGAGGCCGACCGATCGTATCTCAATTTCGTCAGGATATAACTACCGGGACGTCAACGTAACGAACAAATCCGTGTAACCGTTTCTGATCGGAACATCTGATCGCGCGGCACGTACGCGATTATCATCCGAGCGAACTCGAGAAATAAAGATTTGCGACGAGTAAACATCCATCATTGAGACGGAAATCCAGTGGGAATCGTAGCGTGTCAAAATACAAACGCAAGAATTATACGTAACACTGAAAATATCATCTTATAAGATGTTCTTTAATTCATTTCTAATTAATTCTCTGAAGTTGAAATATGTAATACAGTTAAGGACGCTAGGTCTGTAAAACTCATTTAATTTATGTTAATTAAAAGGCAGTAATTAATTTCAAGAAATTACAACGACAAAACTCGTATAAAGAGAATGAATACAAATTGTAAGTGTATTTTAATAAAAATAATATAAATTTATAGATGTAATATAAAGAATATTGTTTGGCATTTATGACAAAGAGATTTATAACTGAAGTGAATCTAATAAATCTGCCATAATATGCCGTCACAGCTTCGGAGAATTAATAAATTAAATTAAAAAATTGTATGCATACTTTCAAAAAGAATATCAAGAGGATGGAAGTCAAATGATTTTCCTGTTATAACGATAAATTAATCGCTAATGAATAGTGCCGATTTCTTAGAAACTCGAAAAGCGTTCAAATTTTAAACATTACTCGTTGCGTAAAATTTTTTCATTAGAATAAAATATAAAGGATTATTAAAAATTAATATTAATATCTACCTCATGATTTGCAAGACAATCTATTCATTCTTGTAGACATTAAAAGTAATTACCATCATGTAGTCGACAATCTTTCAGAAAAGCAATTATTAACAAGCAGGAACGATCACAAGAGAAACTTTTCAGTACTCGTCGGCTAATAATTAACGCTATGATATCTTATATTTCGGGGCACGTCCGTGGAACAAACGATTTCTGTATTCGGTGGAGACAAACTTTTTCCCGCGGTATTAAAATTCTTAATACAACCCTTTCGCGCTAGAATGGGGATGAATGCGGGAGTACATTCATGACGATGGAAAGACAGGCCGAAGAGGAAGAGGTACGTCTCGAGGAAAAAGCGAATTTAATGAAACGAGAAAAACCCCGGTGAAGGTATATTTGTAATGCAAATATCTGGCTCTTGGAGGGACGGAAAAATGAAAGCGTCGAAACAGGCGGGAACGAAATCGAGCGTCCCATCGCTCTCGCTAATCCGATTTCGAATTCTTCGTCGTTCGCCCACTCACTCGCTCGGTCGAATCACGTT